CCCTCCCCACCACCCCTCACCCTCCCTGTCCCCCCTCACTCTCCCTGCCACCCTTGTCCTACCCGCCGAGCTGGCCTGTCCTCACTAGGACATGATCTCTCCCAAGACCCAGGCACAAAGGTGAAGGTGTCAGTGTGTGCTGGGGGCGCGAGGATGACAGGCGAGGACGCCAGCCACCACAACACGGGCTGACCTGCCACGGCCTGCCTGACCCGGCTCCGCGGGGCGGTCCACCGGCAGGGAAGGAGGTTCCATCCAGAGCGGGACCCACAGGAAGGGGCCTGTGACCCCCCTCACCAGTTCCCGGCTCAGAGGTCCTACCTTTTTCTTCTTCAGAATCACTTTCACTCCGTCCACTGAAACCATAATGCTCACTTTCTTCTTCTTAATGTTCTTGGCTTTGAACTCGTACTGCAGGAGAGAAGGAACAGCAATGCGGACAATCAGACTCAGGATGGACAGAGGCCCAGAGAGAGCCCGAGGGACACGGGCACTCTGGGTCAGAACAGGAACCCTGAACGGTCACCGGCTCACTGCTCAGCCCGCAGGCAGGGCCCCGGATGGACCTAATCGTCCTGCCCACGTGGACACTCTCCTGGGAACCCAGCACCGCCCCTCAGCGGCTCCGCCTGCGGTTTTACTGCCGCTTCCGCCAGGTGACTCGGCCTCAGGAAGACCCGAGTGGCCCAGTCTGCCCTTGGGCTGCACACACGAAAGGTCATGCATGCTGTGCCCCTCTCCAGTCCCATTCCCAAGGCCTCTATCTGCAGGTGGGTCTCCACATCACCCACAGCCTGTCAGCTGAAGGCCTGGGGCGGAGAGTCTACAGAAACCTGACCAGCAACGGTCCTGCCTCAACCCCACCCTCTGAGCCCCTCTAAGCACAGCCCAGCGCCCGCACTGCAGACGGCGCAGCCCCACTCCATCCACAGTTCTGTCGCAGTGGCCTACCTCCTACACTGTGCACACACTCACAACTGGTGGCATAATTCTACATTCTCCTCACTGCACCTCATTCGGAGCACTTACCCATTTTCACCTGGTCCCCACCTTGGTGTCTACCTAACACTCACCTGCCAAACTCCATTATCAAACATCTGGGCTACAGATTAAAAATAATAAAATGGGCCCCAGAGCCAAGACCTGCACTGCAGCCCACAGGCCCTCCTCCCCGGCCCTCCCCAACAGCCAGCACCCAAGCTGGTCAGGGGCCTCCGGCTTATTGCCTGTGCCTCTAAGACCGAATCATTTCTCGTTAGTGTGTCGATAGGAATGTACCAAATGCCCCACCAAGATGAAAACTTTGAAAATCTCAAGAGAAGCCCAAGCCATCCTGGGCTGTGACTCTTACTGCTGTGGCTTTACGAGCTCAGCTTAGCGCTTCCCACCCTGGCTCCAGTCTATCCCATCCACCCATCTCCGCTGAACGGGCCAGTGCTTGGTGGTGCCATCGTCTCCTCCACATCCTTCTTCTTCCCCTTCCCTGGCAATGAAGTCCACCAGCAGACAGAAGTGCAATGCTGCAGGCACCGTGCCACCTCCCTGGTCTTAGAAGCAGGTGCCGACAAAGCAGGCCCTCACCCATCTCGATTTCTAGAAGGCCCTGTGGTGACCAACTCTTTGGCCTGTTTGGCCACCCCCCTTCCAGTTCCACTGTCTCTAGGACCATTTGTAAGTCAAGATCCTCACCCATGGCTGGCAAGAGGCTGGATCCCGCCAGCTCCTAACCTGTGTACCTGAAACCTTAACTCTGTCTATAGCTTGCATTTTGACAACTTGGCCAAGTGTTTAAATACCCGCACCTTAAAAACTCAAAATGCAACTAAACGTCATTTTCAGAACTGGAAGCAACTTGAAGGTGCCTGTGCGCATGGGGGTCTGTGGGAAGCGGGACCCCCTGGGGAAGCACCGCTGGAGGGCACACCAAGCCCCAGGGACAGAGCCCCACAGGAGTCCCTCCTCACAGCTGGGGTGCTAGGCACGGCCTCCGAGTGAAGGGGCCACAGGAGGCCCAAGCAGCCTGGGCTCTCCAGCCGGACACAGCATCTACCCTACCTGCCTGGAGGCCAGGTGTCACCAGCCCTCTCCAACCAGGTTGTGGTTCTGCTGCAAACCACAGACGTGGAAGGAAATCGGTTTCTGAAACACCCATTGTATTCAAAACCCATGTATTACAGCCATCACGCCTCCCTGGGGCACCGCCCTCTCTGCTCACGAGGTGAAGGGACCAGAGATGGAGTGAGAGGGAAGCAGAGCCAGGCTCTCGGGACTAGCCCTCCCTCTCCCCAGCCCTGCTGCGCGAGGGGCAGGTGTGCCCGGGAGGAAGCACCTGTGTCCTGCAGGAGAGGAATCGGTCGGCTCGGGTTTGCTGGGGCTGAAGAACAAACAGGCGGGGGTGCCACCCTCGGTGGCTCAGGCAGCCTCGCCCTGGAGTCTGTGCCCACAGTCTGCTCTTTCCCCAATGCTGCCAGGCCGACCTCATGTGCCTGCTTGGCCAGGCCGAGCCCCACAGCCAGGACAGATAGAGCCCGCAGGGCTCAACCGTGAGGACAACACAAGCAAGTCCTGGAACCACGACCAGGAGGACCAAGGCCAAGGGCCTGGTCTGAGCAGCGCCCAGGGCTGCCCTGGAACTGCTGGGCTGCCCAGCAAGGCCGCGAGGGGACGGCTTCAGATCCAGCAGGTGCCAGGCGCGCACACACGCGAGCAAGCAACAGTGAGAACGTGGCTGGACGCCAGTGTCTCCCAGCTCCCTAGTTCCTTGTCCCCACCTCCCAGACGCCTCTCAGCCCTGGTGTCTCTGCCCAGCCAGTGCTGACGACACAGCCAGTGGCAACTTCACAGGGAAAGCCAGGCCCTCACTGGCCAGGAGACACTTTTGTGGTCACTGAGCCCCATTCACACCCCCCGCCACTGCTTCCATGGAAACCACATCGCCACAGTTTCAAAGGGAGTAGCCACAGGGACCCCGAGGGACAGACCTGCACAAGGCCGCTGGGCCACGCATGCTGGGGACTGGGGACCCACAGGCTGTTTAGGGGCCTTCATTTCTTAGCAGAAAAACACAATCACAAGTGCAGAATTTAAAAATTACAAATAAATGGGGATAAAGGCAAGCGTGGCGTTTCTTTCTGAAGCGTGACCCCTCTGCCTGGTGCAGCCGGACCGCGCTCAGGAAGATCCCCTGCAGCCCAGTCCACAGGCACATCCATGTTTTAATGCTTCTTAACACCCTCTAAAAGCCTCTGACTTCATGGGTTTATATGCTGAGAACTTAACATAATTGCAAGTAAGTGTGAATGATTTTTGGCATTCAGCTAAGAAAAACAATCTCAGATGCAGGCAAATTCCTCAAGAAAATGGAAGAACAAGCCAGGCCGTGTGGCCATGGGACGAGGGAACCATATTTGTGAAATTGGACACAGCAGGCAAAGCAGACGATTAGATAAAACGGGACAAGACACTTTCACAGCAGCCACGGAACGCAGCCCAGGGAACGGACGTGGACACTGGTGGCTCCTCGGTTCCCACCCCCCAGCCTGAGTCGCCTTGTCTCACGGAGACGCCCACACAGCCCTCCACGTGCTTATCGTGCAGTCTGGTGGCAACTCCAGAAACAGCCTGGGTGCCTTTCTGGATGTGAGGGAGTCTCTTCAAAGACAGAACACAGAGCTTAGGTCAGTCCCGCACACCCAGCTCAGGAAGGGTGAGAGTCCATGCGTGTGTGCTCGGCCACATGGGCACAAACCCCAGAGCCCGTCCCAGGCGGTGAGACCCTTGGGCCGCCGGTTGTCCCTTCCCGCCCTGAGCCCTGGAGAGACCTCAACCACAAGGCTCACAGCGGAGGGAAGGTCCCATGGGACCACCAAACGTCACCGACACACCCACCGCCTGGACTCTTCCTTCGTCACTGACCGTGTCAAACCCAGCGGGTTTGCACCCCTGACTCAGCAGCCGTCAGAACGTCATCCCTGTCAGAACGCCAGAACATCAGCCATTGGAACGTCAGCCATCAGCCAGCCCTGCGACAGGTCAGGCAGGCACTACGGTCAGGCTCTCCATGCAGACCTCGTGGGCCTGGCCTATGGGCAAACACGCCTCGAGCTGAGAGTGAGCCGTGGATATGAGACATGGAGACCACTGAGGTGTCCACCTGAAGACACACCAAGGTGGGAAAGGAGCTCTGAGGGGAGCAGAGGTGGACTCAGTGGGGAGAGGACAGACCAGACAGCACCCAATGCCTCCAGCGTCAGGGCTGCACTGAATCAACTCTCCCAGCAGCACCCGCATCCCACACGGTCCAGGAGGGGGACAGGGAGTCATTCCTGACCACAGAGCATGCAAAAAGCAGGAGATGTGGTCCCTGATCTCCCAGGCAACAGACAAGTGAGAAAGACAAGTGTGTGGCCATCCTGGCCCAGCATCATAAACACTGTGACGAAGGGGACGGAGGGCCAGGGATTGGCAGGGAGACCAGGAAGGGGCGCAGAGGGCTGGGAGGCTGGGCGCAGTGGCTCCAGATCCATCTGCAGACCTCATGAGTGCAAACAGCCCGCATCCTGCGCAGGAAACGGGCACGGGTGTGGTCAGAAATGAGGCTAGGAGGCAGCCAGGGACAGTGCACAGCCAGCTCTGAAGTAACCAAAGCAAGGCAATCGATCTGGACAGAGCGGAGAACTGGCCTGTCTGAAATTCAGATAAAAGAGAGACAGCACGGCCGGGGGAAAATGTGAAGTCAGGACAACAGCCACGGAGACCACGCAGCACGGTGGCAATGGGGCTCCGGGCCCCCACCACCTGCCACACCTGCACCAGACAGGAACCTCGCTTCTTCCTGCCCATGAGCCAACGCTGGCTGACCTTATAGGAAGATCCCCAGAGAAACCACGCCCACTGCCCTCCCGTGGGCCCTGGCGTTGGGCAAGTTCCCATCAGCTCCTTCTGAAAGTCTCCTCCAACCAGAGGCTCATGGCATCTGTCGTGGCTGAGGCTGAGCCGAGGTGGCATCATCTCAGTGACCCCTGCCCCTCCAGGGGGCCCTTCACCCCGGGACCCAAGATTCCTGACCGACAGCTGGGAAAGGCTGAACGAGAGCCAGCTTCCCCGTCATGTGCTCTGGAGCAAGAAGAGAACTGAATGGTGGAAGGACCATGGAGAGCGGGCTCCCACGTCAGGCACAGTCACAAGCAGCTTCGCCCGGCGCCCGGCGCCAGGCGCCAGGCGCCAGGCAACACAGCCAAGGCCTCGGTGCAGGCCAATGCACAAGGGACCCAAGACCCCAGGAGAAACGGCTCTGCTCTTCAGAGGCGAGAGACACTGTCATTCCATGAAAAAGCCACCCGTGTGTCTCCATGTGTGAGAGGAGGATGGGCCCACAGAAGGTGAGGGCCACCTGGCAGGACGGGGTGAGC